TTTCACAGTATCCTTATTTTACAGTATACTCTATATCTGATCCAATACATCTTAATATCACAATTTCCTTTTTGGAAAATACAGTTTTACAAACAATCAATATGCTCATGCTTTTTCTGCTCTTCTTTGCGCTTGGCATTTTGCTATAATAGTTTCACAACACATACTGAACATTATTATTATTTATTCCTCTCCATTACACAGATTCTGTGTCCATTTTTTTTGGTGTGCAGAAATGTACTTTCATATTGTACAGTACGTGTGCTATGACTTTGTACATTGTACAGTATTTTGTATCCTGAAAAGAATTGTGCTCATCTAGGTTTACTAGAAACAACATTTTGCTTTCTTTTTCATTTTCAAAATACATGAATACATGAACACTCACATGAAACCTTCAAACATGCCCCTATAATAAGCAGCTTTACAAATTCCCAGACACTCTGAAACCAGGCAGTCAAAACATGATGTCAGCTTGAAGATATCATCAGTTGCAAACATCTGGCAAAGCAAGTTAAAAAGAGCTACCTTTTTTGTTTGTTTGATTTCTTTGCGGTTTAAGGAAATATTTGGATCTATTTACATAATGAATCTTTGTCTTGTCTTCTTTTCATTCACAAGGTGCTAAAAAAAAGCATTTTTCAGACAAACCTATTATACCAGCAAAGAGCTCTAGAAGGACACAGAGACCAAAAAATATTTGCAAAAACAAATAATTTTGCCAGATATGTAATATAATGGCCACTCTGCTTCCCTGAACATTGAACTCTCACTTATATTCTTTTTATTATGAAAACATTTAAGCAACGAATACAGGCTGTTATGTACCAGAACAGCTGTACTGTATTTAATTCAACATTATGTTACTAGTGTCAGATCCAGGTCAAGCACAAAAGAACTCAACACAATAAAATCAAGAGCTTGCCATCAAACATGAACCCTTCTTACTTCATAGAAAAAAACTGGTGTGAAATTCCTTCCATTTGCAGCCCGGGAGGGTCTATGGGTCTTGAAAAGGTATATTGTGCCTTCGTGCACATTCTATTCAGGAGACAGGAGCCTAGCATGTCTGCTGCCTGAACTGCATACTATTGTCATGATTAGAGTTTAACTTTGAAAAAAACTAAACCTTAAGCTAGTTCCTAAATGGCCTTGAGAATTTCAGAACCCATACAGTATTTCAATCCTTATTTCTTAAAGAAATGTCTTAAAGATTCATCATCACACAAAGCCTTTCATGGTAATTACAATGGCTAAGGTAGTGCCATCACATAAAAGGAACAACACTAAATATCTCTTTACTCCAGTAGGTTAGATCAAAGCAGTTCTAAAAATTCTATTTATACTGCAAGCAAAAATGCTTCAAGACTGAAAAATTGCAATTTACAGTCAAACGGCACAGTCTCCAATGCCAGTCATTTGCAAATGACAGCAATCTGCTGATTCAGGTAGGAAGTGGAAGCCTGAGTGACTTTATGTTCACCATGAGAATTTGAAAGAGAGGCCTTGATAGGAGTCACTGACAGAAGCACTTTTAATCCATGCATGATCTCCCAGTCTAGGCCTTTAGAGAAAGGCATTGAGCAGTGAATAGTCATGCAAATAATTTTTAAAAAGTCATGTGTAGTATTTATTTTAACATCTTTTCACAGGTCTTAAGAACATGTCATAAGCCTGTTAAAACATTCCACACATCAGTCCATTTTCTAAACACTTCATCCAATTCAGGGCTGCAGGGGAGTTGGAGCCCATCCAGGCAAGCAACAGGTGCAAGGCAGGTTACACCCTGGACAGGACACCAGTTCATCGCAGAGCAGACAGACACAGTCACACCAGGGTCAGTTTTCTTAGAATCCAATTAACCTACTGTACCAGTATGGTTTTGAACTGTGGGAGGACACCAGAGCACCTGAAGGCAACCCAGGCGGACACCAGGAGACCTTACAAACAAATGCCAACCCCTGTTCCACCTGTGACATGTCTTTAAGGAAAAAGCTGCAGTTAGTAGTGTAACTGCAGACTGACTGGTATTGTGGTCGGTTTCCCCCTCCCTCCACAAAAAATCATCTGGATTTATTTGCAAGTTAAACATAGCACCATACTGTATTCTGCTGGTTTGTTGCTTCATTAATCAGAACTCACATTATGTATAAAAGCTATTTATACAGGATCCTTTAAAAAGAATTGAGTTTATATAATGTGTTCTTTTTTTAATTGTCCCTACAGTAAATATACCATTGAAGCAGTAGGGATATCTTTTCTTTAGAAATGCAAGAAATGGTCTGTAGGAGGCAGCAGTTGTAAGTAAAGTGTATTTTATTCCAGAGGTGGAGCAGTTCGTGAAAGTGCCTTTCCCTCAGGAATGCTTAGCAGCCACTCCTTATGGGACAGAGAAGCAAGATGCAATTGATAGGGTCTTCAGTTAGAAAAACGGACCTGATTTATTCATCTGTCATTACAACAAGCCTGTACCTACCTTTAAGGAAGAAGAAGCTGAAAAAAGAGAAAATGCTGTTGTTGGAAATGTCCACTGATTCTCTCTTTTGCTGATATAGATTTGTGTTCCTACTGGGACTACTTTGGGCTGCTGTAGGCACAGATGGGATTAACGTATCATAAGGATCAAGTAGATAAACTGGAGAAGAAGCATGTTTTAGGTTTAATGTTTTCAGTAGGCCGCTCACTGGAGGAATTTTTTAAAGAGAAGTGCAGGGGCATGAATTTCAGCAGCAGAATTGGAGATACGATAAAGTCAAGCAATTCCACTTTGCAGTTGCCAAATAATGAAACCGAAGTTAAAAGTTTCTCTCCTTGTCTCTGGCTCCAATGATTTTTCTCTGTTGATATACAAGGCTTTAGCAGTCTCCAGTCCTCATTGCACAAACATACGTGCACACACGTAATGATACCACCGGGAAATCGAAAGGATTCGAAAGCATTTATTTTGGTTACTCCAATACCTTTCATTTGTCTTTTTATATCTGGAAGGCAGGCAATATTTTTTAACTCCTCTTTGTTTCTGATGAAATTGCTTTATCCCTGGGCTAATGTCAGCTCTGTGGGCTTTACTGGAACATGCCAGCAGGTCTGAGCCTAGCCTCCCCCTCCCCTCAGTATTACAAACATTCCTTCTAGGAAAAGCCTGTTCTGAGAAATTTCACTTGGAGAAAGTTTTCCTCAGACCGCCTAAGTATACACAGTGAGGTGGCAATGTTCTCTGTCTAAACGAAGTCACCTATATTGTATTATCCTGTTATTATTCCACCACTAGGTGGGTTTATTACATTACTTCAAAACAGGGATTAGCAAAGCATCAAAGAACACTGGATGACTTGAGAGAGGTTGCCAGCCTTGAACATAAGAATTGAGTGAGTAAGATAAAGGGAGGTAGGGGGTGGAGGAGAGAGAGAAATAGGGTTGGCGGGGAAGAAAGAAATAGGGAGGAAAGGGAGAAAGGACTCTGGTGTCCAGCCCAAATCTACTGCTGCTTGGCCAGAACTAAATCATTTGCTCATTCTACGTGACTAGGAAACATATCACAACAATACAAAATTGTGTGTGTTTTTTAGCAGGTGCACTGCATACCCATAATGACATCACTGGATCAACACTGTCCAGCTTAATGGTCTACAGTAACAGGACAAATATGCAATCCCTGTTGGAGAACATGATAATCACACAGCATGATGAAGTGCCACCTTTTTTTCTTAAATACCCTGTATATGACAGAAGGCCAGAGCCAAGCTTCTCTTGCTAACAGCTTAAAAAGAGAGATTCTTGAAAGAAGGTCTCAATCTTTTTAGCTTTAGCTGTGCCGTCACACAGAGTATCAGGTACCTACACAGTGCAAAACACAGAAGTCCAAACTAGATGACAATAAAGAAAAACCCTTGGACGGTACACTTGTGGAATGCAGTTTCCAGACTATAGCTTTAATTCCTACTGAGAATGTCTTTGAGAATTCTAACTGAAAGCTACAAGTCAGGAGAACATAGCATAATTATATTGAACAGGAGTAAAATAGGCCCAAGGAAAGATGGTTTTTTAATATTTCTTATAACATAATTCAATCTATACACTCCACGTGGGCCAGTTTATTCTGCTTAAAATCCATTTGGCTGTCAGTACAAATTAGCAAATGGTTTAATCACATAATCCTAAACAGCTTTTCTATTTGTTTGTGATGTTTCCAGAAAACCAAATCAATTCTACATTTTGGGAAGCTAAAATGCAATTACATTTTTTGTTCATTTAAATTCCTTTGATTTATATATACTTCTGTATTGACAAGCAGGCACATACCTTTCCTTTGGGCCTCATGATTAACCTTTCGACCAGGACTGAAATTTATTGACTTTACAGAGTCAGGTGAATATATAACCAACAGCTAGAAAACACATATTTTGTTGCTACCACCTGTTTCAGGCTGATAGAACAAAGACAAGGGAAAATCTTTTAAGAAAATGATTTCAATGCTTGTAAATTAATTGGTAATAAGAGATGTCTATCGGTTTATATGGTACAGGTGAAACATACAGATCCTGTCTAGGATTCCTTATTTGTTATTTGTTATCCCTCTATTTTAGTGTGTCCTAAGTGGTACTGCATAACTGTGACATTGATGGTTTTATCTGAGGGATGTAAAGTATGAAGTATTTAGTCATTACCTTTCTGAGAGCTTTTTTTATAGCCTTGTGAAAAAGGAGAGAAGGTGCATTTGTACAGTTACTAACTCATTCACACACAATGTCAAAGAGCTCATAATGGAATTAAAACCATGCGTGGAACACAAAGGATGAGGTTTGTGTGTCCTGAATTCAAACATGTTTTATTCTTCAATACTTTTTAGTTAAGAATGGCCTGTTGTTCTGTTGTTTTGAAACTCAGCTCTCAAGGCAGAAAAACTGTGTCCTTCTTTGGAGAGAATGAGAAACATGGACTTGCTCCTCCAACATGGCCAGAGTCATTAGCATTTCATACGCTCTACGCTCCACAGCTTCCGACAGGAGAGCTAAATGCCACGTCTCTCACTGACATCCCTGAGATCAGATGCAAGAGACCCAGCAAGTCATAGGAGTCGCAGTCAGAAAGGTAGGGGAGCCCTCGTTGGCTAATTTCAACTTTAGCCCCAGTGGCACACTGCCAATTAGGCACCACTGCTTAGGGGAACCCCCATCATAGTCAAGACCGACATGACTCAGTAGCACCATCTGGATCACAGAGTTCAACCTGCTTTCTGAGCAAGCGATACTCATGATCAGGCAACTACCCCCCCCCCAAAAAAAAAATTCAACTTTGTACAAATGTTTATCACTTAGACTAAAAGAGACTAAAGAGAAATCATTTTTATGCTACTCTGTGCAAAAGGTTGTTTTTTTCTATTAAAGCATTTGTCATGGGTGATCTACTGTGCTCTAGAATGACATGATCTTTTCCACATCACTCAAACGAAAGCACAACAGTTAGAGGAAGGCTCGTGATTGCTGGTACGTGAAAGCACACAGCAGTTAATTTGTTAATTCATGGGTATAAAATTCTATCTAAATGGTTACAACATCAGTCTAAATGTTTTTGGTAATTATTGACAACACTCTAAAGCAGACACAGTTAGTTGCCGTCTAATCTTTTTAACTACTGCTTTTGGCTGTAAGAAAGGGGCAGACATGTACAATCTTCTTATTCCAAATTTGTAGTTTGATCTTTCGCATTGCTTGTGAGTTCTCACAATGAATTCTTGGGTATAGACCTCATGGAACAGGAATGCACTTGGTAAGCTGTAGGTAGCACAAACAAGTTGTATTTTTGCTGAGAGAAAGTGATGTAATGTAACCATTATGTCTGATCTGTGTACTCTACAGCACCTTGGCGATTGAGTATTATGTGATAATTGAGAGTGTGATAATTATGATTTTTGCAATTTCAGCCTTCTGCATTTCGATCCTGTTTCAGCATGTTACAGCGAAAAAGCCTGGTGGAAGATGAAGCACAGTGATTGTTTGTTCAGGTCTGGATCTCCGTGTTTTTTCTGTAATACTTTACCACTGAAGCAAAAATCATCCTTTAACCCTATCTGTAGGATATCCATCCTCCCAGATTTTTTAAGAAAGTTTTCCAGTATAGAGCCAGAGTCTATGCCAAAAAGCAATGGACACAATTCAGGGTACACTGGACTGGACAGTGGATGGACACTACCCATCACAGGAGTGGTAGACACAGGTATGCACACACTCACATTCACACCAGGGCCAATTTTCCCAGAAGTGAATAAGTCTGCCAGTACAATATGTTTTTGGACTGTGGAATCCAAGAGCACCCAGTGAAAACCCACACAAACGTGGGGAGAACATGTTCTACAAACTCCATGCAGCTAGCACCCCAGGTCCAGAATTGAAGCCAGAGCCCAGTCATGATAATCACTGCATTAGCATGCTGTCCATCTGTTGTGTATATATATATATTCATTCATATATAGTGAGTAGTGTATTTGTATTGGTCAGTAGCATGTCTTAATTTCATTTACATGAACATGCACAAGTACAGTATGTGTCCCTTTCAGTCTTCTCAGACTTGTCATAGTGTTAATCATAGTGTAACATTTTCAACTGATACCGGCTACTACCTATTACATTCAAAACTTAAATTTGTGTTGAAAGATTTAATTTCTAATCAGACACAACATCTAATACCAATAGAAAACTAAAGAAAAAGTGAGTTGATGGACAAGTCATCTTTCACCAAAAGTGCATACTGTCCAATTCAAACCTGCACTTCTGAAAGTATATTTAAATGTGCAGTATAGAGTTTCAGGAATGGAAAAGGATGGGCTGTCCTCTTTGGATACATTGTTATAGTTGTGCCCAAAACTTACAATAACTGCAGTCTGGTAAAGAATGCCAATCCTAACAGATTCCTTACTACTAAGGGTCAAAAGGCTGCATAGCAGATCGGAATAAAGGGTCTTACTATACCGACACATCACTGGTAGACCGCACTAAGGAAAATAAAGCCTTTTGGTTATTTTAAAGCAAAACATATCTCACAACATGCACACAGACACAGGTCATGTTTCAACAGATAAATCAAATAAAAGAATAGGCAAAAAACAAACAGCAATCCCAGGTAATCTAATCTTGCTGTAGTCCTGTGTTCTGTGTAATGTAATTGTTGAAGTTTATGGAGATAATAAAGTGAAGGATGAGGTGGCCGTGCTTGGTGCTCTCTCCCCGTCCTCTGTCTTCCAGGGGGACCTATTTTGTTTCATATCTAGACTCGCTGTGTGTTGTGTTTCTTTCAGGCATGAGACGACACAGAACTGCGTAAGCAGGGGGATTGTTATTGATCCCGATGAAGCAAGGCCTGACCTGTACACATCTTGAGAGTGGCCTCAGCTGTACCATCTCAGAGGGATAGACGTCTTTGTCAGGACTGCCAATACACATCCGCTACAGGAGCAAAGGTGAATCAAAATGTCCAATCATCTTTCCTGAAGACCACATTTGGCTTACTTTTACATTTTTTGGAAAGCAGATTAAGCCTTTTCCTTTAAATCTTCATTGTGTGAGAAATGAACCAACTGCAATTGTTACAGTTTATAATTTCACTGTTTTGCATATGACAAAGAAAAATCAGAAATTTGTGATAATAGGGCTTTGTAATCAAGTTGTGCTTTGTACGAGAAGCAGTGAGAAATTTGAGGATCAGTGTATAATAAATAAAGAAAGTGGCATATTTACTTTTCTACGGATAGTCATATTTTTCAGCATTTTCTTGATTGGAGTTAGAAGTAATTATTTTAATAGATGTTGACATACACGAACAAGAAAGTCATAATCCCATCTTTATATATCATACCATTTATATTTAATATATATATTATATATATCCCAACTGTATATTTTCTGTTTATACCTTCTTGCTAGAACAGAATGAAAGTACTGAAAACAGTGAAATTTGAATTGCTCCTATTTTTAAGTGTTCTGGCTATAGACTATATTTCTGATTATATTTCTTTCCTTTTTTCCAGTAGTTCCTTCGAGTGCTGAAAAAAGCAAATCTCTAAGATCAGTGTAGAACTATTGCTGAGCAAAGTAAACCTAAATTACTGAACAGCTGACATTCAACCTACAACATAATGGGAAGAACTTGTGAGCGTATCAATTACCTTTTATGAGAAACGTTTTATCAAGGCAAGGAGGGAACTGCGTGCTGTGATTCCATTAAACTGATTTCATTTCTTATTATTGCCTATCAGCCTCATTGCAGGAAAGGGTAATCTCACAAGCTGCCCTACTGGAACAGCACCTGACTGTACGCAGCACACTACATTAACAGGTGACAAACGACTGTCAATCACAAAAGCAAATCCCACCTTTTTTTGCACACAGCTTGAGAGAAGTCTCAAGCAGCTTCATTCTTACTACAAAGTCAATAGAATGCACGGTTGTACAGTCGCATAAACGTGCGTACATAAGACCATACAGGAAGGTTACAAACGAGAGGAGGCTAGCCAGCTTGTTTAGTTGCTGGTATTTCACTTATCCTAGGATCTCATTCAGTAGTTTCTTGAATGACTTCAGATAGCAACAAGGTTCGATAGCATTTTTTGGTCTCTCATAGCCCTTTGTGTAAAAATGGAATTCCTGTTCTGTATATGAGGAATAACAACACCCAAATAGAACAATGTATTTGGGAATGCTTATCGAAACATTAGGCATGGGAATAGAGATTTAGGACAAAAAACTTTGCATCCCCACAGAGAGAGAGGAGTTAACCAAGGAGCGGCCGCAAAGGTGGAGCTTACTAAGGTATTTATAGTTTTGGGAAGTGACTTCACAGAGGATTAGAAGCTAAAGAAGCAGAGGTGAAGGAGAACATCCTCTTTTTTTCTATTTACTGTATGCCTCCTAGTTGTCTATGTCAGCACTTTAAAATGTTGTCCACAACTAAATTTCCTTTAGGCCTGTCCGTGTGTGACATTTCTTTGAGGTTACTGGACTTTACACACAGTGTATTTTACACATTTGTTGTGTCACATTATAGGATTTCTGAACCTCTTTTCAGGACTTTATTTCTAGTATAATTCACCCATGATAAACAATCCTACCTTTTCAAATAACATTTTAATATTTTCTAATATCAGACCCCCCCAAAAAAAACTACAGCATTGTGTGTTGTTTTCAACAACATTGCCCAACAAGAAAAAAAATAACGTCATTGTGCGCTTTGATAGTGAACTGGTGCAGGGAGGAAGTCTGCTGTTGAAAATCTGTAGTGGTTGATCATGACCATTATTGAAGAATTTTGCCTGGACACGTGTTTTCACACTGTGTGAAACAGCGTGATTACCAGCCCCACAAGGCATAACATTACAATAGACAATGGTTAGATGATATGAAGAACTGACTATGTAACAGGCTATTTTCTTTCATCACTGCTCTTCAGCATGGTTTGCTGTGTTCAAGGATTTAAAGTTTTCTGCAGATGCTTACACCGCTGTAAGACCTTAATGATTTTTTTTACATGGCTCAGTATTCACAGGTCAAAAATACAATATATACTTTTAACTTTTAACTTGTCAGACATGCACTTTATCTGTTTTAAGCTAATGGCTTATTAATCTTATATGCAATTCAACATTCTTTTTCACAGGGTGAAAAAAGAGCAATGTCAGAGTCTTGAAACTTACATGAAAGCTATTTTTCTCATGTTTCAGACATTTCTAATTACCTTGCGCTGCATGGAATTATCTAGAAAACACCATTTTTATAAAAGCTTTTCTGACAAAGTCTCTTAACGACTTCACACAACATAATACAATAAAAAGTGATCATTCCATCTCCACCAAGGCAGACATTTGGAGGTTAATTGGAGTCAAATGACTCAATTTAATTGCGTCAGGTTATACAAGTGTGAAAAAACCCAAACATATACCCAATAATTGTATACCTCACACTGTTTTTTTTTATTTAGGTGTCTGCTGTATGCATGCAATGTGCCTTCTTTTGACAAGAATTATCATTCGTCTGACTGGCAAAAAAACAATCTGTCTGTGTTAGGAGAACTTGTCATCAGTGTGCACGAAAAAGAATTGGAAGATGGACTTAAAGGTTATGTCAAGGTTAGGCTTCAAATTTTGAATGTATTGCATTAATGTCACTCATAATTCATATATGGGATATAAAAGGCAGATTTTTCAAATGTTGTAGAAACAATTTGCTATACAAAAAAAAATACATTGTCTACCAGCTCCAATAGGTATACTATGTTGTCACTAGAGAATATGAAAGAAAAATGATTTAATAAGTTATCTTTAGATACAAATAAAATATGAGAATAGTTTTAATTTTTTAATTATTTAATAGTTTGAAAACTGTGCACCAAAGACAAGTAAAATCTGGTCAACACATACTGTATACACCAAGAGGAACAGTGGTGTAGTGTGCCCTGCTTTGCATGTATGCTGTGATGCACACTACTGGTCGCCACATGGAGCTGATGTCTCATCCTTTGGTGTGTGCTGGCATTGTCCATAGGAAAGTGCTCATTTTTATTCCAAATTTCATTGATTTACACGACACAGTTTATAAGCAGACTTTATAACATATGTACATTTTTAGCCATATCTGGTCGTGGTTGTGACGATTGTATATGGAATGAATGGGACAAAAGCCATCTGTTTTTGTTTTACCCCGAACACATGGGGAATCAAGTAGAAAGGCTCAATAGAGTTTGTGAGAGAAGGTGGGAGTACAGTAGATATAATACTATCAAGGATCCATGACTGACAGGTATTGATGATCTGCACACCCACCTCCCTGGGGAGATGAGCTTAACGTAATTAAAAGCTTTGCAAACAAAGTTGTAAAATAGCCTTATTTTTCCTCTAATGCTGTAATCATGATGGACAAGAAAAAGTAAAATTATAAAATTAAAAAATAGTGAAATTAACAATTTAACTTTATATACTGCATATTTGAAGATCTGGCATTTCACTGGTTTTGTTGGAGCCTCACAGCATGTTAATTTACTTTCCAAGGGCCATTTGCTCACGATCATACTGAAGTTGGAGATTAACCATAGTTATTTTAGTATTTAGTCCCTCTAAAAGGAACCATTCTATTGTTGTGTGGGGAATATATATGTACTGTATGTAACAGTTAGAAACCCTGAAAGAATTATGATCCAGCTGATGGGCTATTTTGATGGGCTCTATAGGTTTTTGTTTTTAATTAGCAGAAGAAATGGAAAAACTATAATACACTAAACTATAATTTTCCTCTATGAAGGAGACAGCAGATCTTACTACTGTATACCTAAAGCAAGATCAATGAATCCAGGTGTCTGTGCTAATTACTCAACGAGTTCCAATTAACAGATTACACAAAATATTGTTTATCTGTAAAACATTCATTCTGAAAGACAAACATAATTTCAAGAACTCACACTCGAGGCCAGGGGGAATTGGTAACCATTGCAACTTTGAACAAAATGATCACTATATTCATGTGCTATAGACAGTCATTACATTAAATTGCTCCGTACACATAACACAAAGAGATCTTAAGTTTTTGTTTTAAATAGATGCTTTTTTAAAAACTCAGTCCATGCTCAAGCACAGTAATGGAAAACTGTTTTTAATTGCTGAAAAAAGTTATTATAGTAAAAAAAAAATGTATTATTTTTGTGCATGAATGCAATGATAGATATTTGGGTGGATTCAGAGGAGAATTAAAAACAACAAGGAGTTTAACAATTATGCAAATTCATTATAGCTCAATTCAATTGCAAAAAAATAATTTTTCATGTGATTATACCTTTCCTTTGAAATTGTAAAAAATAAACTTTTACCATATTAAATGTTCTTAAGAATCCAATAGATCATCCGCCTGCCTAGTTAAAAGAATGCAAAGTTATTTTAGACAACTACAGCTGCTACATTCCACAGGCTTTGCTTTTAAAACTGTCCCTTAACCTCAGCAACCTCGGAATGTTTTAAGCTATTTATACTCTGAATGGCTACATTCGTATTCTAGGTTACATTATATGCATTTTCAATCGCAGATTGAAGTACTATTCATGTAAAACAATGCATTGCTCTCTGGCGGGGTTGCAGATATTACACCGCAAGGCAACACTGAAGCTCTTCCTGTACAGGGAGGATGCACAGATACTGTCATGTCCGAGTTACAGATAAACTGCCTGCCTGATTAGACACGAAGTGAGGAGACTGATGCCTCCATTACGGACCCACAAAGCTTTAAACAATCTTTCCAAAAGAAGTGTGGAAGGTCAGGAATGGGCTCTGGGGGCCTGCAAATGATTAAAACAATCTTTAACGGATTGGGTCACCTTCAAGCCAGGATCATAACTGACATGTCTGAAATCAATTTGTCCATTTTCTGTGACCCAGACAGACTGTCTTGAAATGAAGTTCCTATGGGGAGGTGGAGCCAGAGGATTTATCATTAGATTCATGCCATCTGTCAGCCATTTTGTTGTTGTGTAGAGATAATGATCATTTATTTACTTGTAGTAGATGTGACACAATTAGGTTCCCTCCTTTCCAAGACAAATTAATCTAATTTTATTTCAATGCTGAATAATACTAATTTATTAAGAGAGAAGCATCATAT